TTCAAACTATTTTCATTGACTTGAACTGTGTTACCGTACTAAGAAAACATTTTGTCAAGGTTAAACAAAGTATTCGGTGGCAGCCACTGCCTCTCGCTATAGAACTGAAGGGAAACTTGAACCAAGCAGAAAAAAAGGAGATGGTTTGGTTTCCCAGTAACAGAATGGTATCATAAGAACTTGTCCTGTCTTATTTTATCCCCAAGTGTGAGTCAAATATGAAGCAGTGCCTGGGGGAAGTCCCGTTCTCCAGCAGAATGGATTATTTCCATTTATCTTGCAATCTGCTAAGAGATCTTAAAATTCACTCACTTGGCAAGTGTGGAATTATCATGAGGAATGAAACCATTTCAGAACTATGAGATCATGCCACATTCCACAAACCTGACACTTGCAGGGATTGTCCAAACTCGGGCACTGTTTTGACTTACAGGTAATCCCACTTCATTAATTCATTTAACATGGAAATTATTTGGGGAAAAAGAAAACGACATGTCAGGAAAACCACAAGTGCTTTCTATGTAGAGTGGAATTCATAATATACACCGGATAGGCGATAATCTGCATTTCCTTTCAGAGACTCAGCACCATGGCAATATTACTCAATATTGTTGTAATTTCCTCCAAATATTAAATGTCAAAGTTATCCAAGAAGAATCTTAGATGAAAATAAAATATGGATTGACAATATGAGTTTGTGCAGAGTTAGCCTTTGGGTGTTTGCCAGAAGCTTATTGATGTGTTTGCGGTTGGGTAAAATCATAATAGCACAAAGTCCCAAGTGGAATAAAGCTGAGCCTAAATTACGTCAATTAAAGGGTACCTTTCAGTAAAAAACCTGTCCTGTCAGATACTGGAAAAACACTTGTTTGCCTATGATGCGCTTTATTTTTTGTGTGTTTGCCAGAAAAATTCAATTTCTTTCAATACCTTACACCCAAGCTTGCCTATGTCAGCAAAATCTGTATGGGCCATAAGTTCACACACCTGATCTCATTTGATTTCTATACCCACAAGAAAAATGTATGTATGTCTGATCACTGGAGTAGATGTGTGAGGCAATGCTGGATCTTTCAGGTGGATAAATAATTTGAATTTCCTGCTGATGAGGAATCAGAGTTCAAAGGAGGTGTTCCCTGCAGTTATTCCATTTGAGTGATCAATTTATCAAAGGTGTGGCGAATGTGGTGATTGGTGAACAGCATCATGAATCATAAGTCTCATACTTTCAGTTTTGAAGGCATCAGGATTGTATTAGTAAAATGTGTGCATTTCAGGGTTCTACTCCTTCTTCATGGCTTTGGTGCTTTATCAAGTGTATGATTTAAATGTCTGCCAGGAGTCAGATGCCTTATGAGGGCTGTGCTGAATGTGGCAGCAGTACTCCAACAGCTGCATGTCAAACCATTGAGACATTTGAGACTTTTGATTCATGGCGCTCCTCGCCAATCACCACAGCTGTATGTCTGATAAGTTTACATTGGCATAGTTCAAACTGTTCCAGGTTTTGGTGATTTGGCACTGGAACATTTTGTCCCTAGAAAAGTTCCGGAATGGTGTGAAGAAACACCAATGCCTACAGAGATAAAAATGTAGTGTCATCAACACTCACAACAGGATGCAGGCAGGGAGAAGAATGAGCACATCTGTAAGCCAATCAGGCCCTCCTAGACAGTTTACCAGTCTCATACCGAGGAACGATTTCAATCATGTTACTATTCTATTGTCTGGAGCCTTGTTTTAACTTGTGCTTTTACCAGTAAGTGTGATGAACCACTGTGTAGGTTACCATAAAGGACATGTAGCAATTCATATTCATTATACTGGTGTAGCCCCTTCACTCAAAGTGGAGTGGCTCTTCAAATGTAGGATTGCTGGAACTGTACTCAGCCTGGCTGATTTGTAGTCTGTAAACATTTGGTAATTCCTAGGTGTTCTGCTATTGTCTGCACCTACCTGTAGTACCTACCTGTTCCCGGCTGCCCTACTACAGAGTGGGGCAGCCGGGAACATTGGGGGTGTTTATGTCTGTTCAGCCAATCACTAGGAGTTTAATGGCCAGTTGTGAATGCTGGTGAAATGCATAAATACTCAGGAATTGCCATGTGTTCACATCAGTCCGCCTCCGGGCCTAGCCTGGGGGTAGGGTGCACACTGTTGGAGAAGCTTACTAGGCATGACGTCTGCAAAAGGCCAGATGTGGACCCAGGTGGGGTCTGAAACTGTCTGGGCTGGAGAACCAGAAGAGCTCTTCATTTGCTGGAGGCACCATGAAGGAGAGGATGGCTTGGGCCCCAGAAACAAGTCTGGTATCTCTCCTAGAGAAGATTTTAAACACATCCTCTATCCAGTAAAGTATGCCTGCACTGTGGAAGCTGGAAGGGATTGGTGAGTCTGGAGTTCTGTATTCCTCAGATGTCTGCAGCTCTATACCCTCTCTCCCTGATTTGCTACTGGTTCTATTGAAGCATAGAGATTCGAAAAGAACGTGGCTGGTGCCCGGTTTACTGTTCACATCCCCCAACCTGGCTAAGGATCCTGAGGTGAAATGTCAGCCCCCCCTGCCCCTAAAATCCAGGTGGGGGGCACTACACTGGTTTAAAGCTGTATTAATTTTTTTGACTGAAAAGAAGAACATACAATAATCTTATCTTGCTAGTGTGTACATGACAGGTTCACTTGGATCTGATGGCCAATACACTCATCTGTTTCAAACACACAAAATCAGAACGCTGCCAGAAGCCATCACATAAACACTGGAATACGCAGAAATAAAAGCTGCAGAAAGCCTATCGTTACATCTTGAAAACAAGCTTTGTGTATGATGTGAGCGGGGTGTTATGAGGTGTTTATGAAACTAAGAGTAGCCACAGAATTTTTAGAAGGTGATTTAAAGCATTCTACGCTGCAATCTGATATAACACCCTGTTCTTCTGTTTCTTTGGATAAATTAGACTAGTTCTCATTTACATCATGCTGAAAACCTTCTTCAAACATGTAATTACCCTGTTTGCTAAAGAATAAAAAAAAAAAAAGAAGCTCTACACATTGTACCATGACAGGAAATGAGATACGCTAAGTTTTGTAAAACGTTTTTCTTTACAGGCATCATTTATAATATCAGTTCTCTGTGCTGTCATTCCAGTGAATGGTAATTTGGGGATGAAACAGAAACCTGATGGAAAGGCTTCTTTTGACCACCGCAGCAGTGATGGTTTCCAAATTTAAAGAGATTGGCGCCTCTATAAATTTAGAAACTGCTGCAGCAACAGAACAAAATAAGCCATAGCACTAGGATGGTAAGTAGACCCTGAGCATGCTTATATACTGTAGCTTGATGACAGGATAGTTACAACATGACTATAGGCTTGAGTCATGAGTAGTCACATTCCCCTTGGCTAGTTCCACTGCAACTAAATGGTTCAGTTCACACTTTACTGTTGAGGGACAAGTGTCAGGGTTCCATCCTGACAACTGGTTTGCAGCATTTTAGCTTGGCTACCATTTCACTCACATGTGATTCCTCCTTTACTTGAGCAGACTGTTTAATGTTACTCACGACTCCCAGGCTCCCTCTTATGGCCAACCAGGGAGCATCATCTGAGAGAGCCAGATGGGAGTTTCCTGTCTCTGAGTGATGATGTCACTCCACTCACTATTTTAACCACTCAGTCTAGTCTGACCTTGCATGGTCTTCCTGCTAGTGCATTCCTGCTGTTCAGTGTATCCTGTTTCCATGTATGACCAGATCTTGGCTGACGTTCTCCTCTGGTTCCTTCTCCTGGCTTATTCTTGACAACGCTGATTTCCTGCTCCTGGCTTGTTCCTAACAACGCTGATTTCCATGTTCCTGACCTGGCTTGTACGCCAACCTACACCAGCTCCTGACCTTGGCTTGTTCCTGTTTTATGATTTTTGCTTGCTCCTGTGGACACTTTTCCTAATAAAGTATTTTTAACTAGCACCTTATGCTTGTCTGGTTTTCAATGTGCTGTGACAACAAGGAGTTCCAACATTCACACCTTGGCGGTCTATTGCCTTCAATGGTTTCCCCCTGGAGGGATAGAGATGGCTGCAGGCAGAATGATACCTGTAAAAAAAACACACTGCACTGGTTGTTCTTCTGAAATGTATGCAGTGTGAGCAAGGTTTAAAGAAGTGTAGAGAGCAAAACATGCTATCCCTGCTGCTTAGGACCAGTGTGGGACACTGCAGCTGTCCTAAGCTGGCTCTAATACTGAAAGCTGAGTAATCATGTAACCGATGTTTGGTCAGCTCTCGGTCTCCTCTCACTGCAGAGAGCAGTAGCTAGGAGACACTGCTCCCCGTGGGGATTCTCCCTCCCCTCTCTTCTCTTCCAGCGTTTACTGGAGCAACAGACCGGGAAAGAGACAGCCAAGCACACAGAGACAGAGCTAGCTGTCAGTTAGACAGCTATGGTGGATCACAAAACTATTGGCTGGTTCCTCCTCATCTGTGGTACAGCTCTGCGCTGTCAGCTGACTGAAGACATTACCCCGATATCTGATGATTTTGGGTTACAGATGTACATAAGTAATTCTACTCCTGTGACCCAAAAGATAATTCAAAGACAAATAAAAGTTTTGGGTTTACTACTGTTTTAATATAATTACACCATTTAATGAAGATTTCTGATTGGTTGCTTGTGAGCTGAACTTCATTATTCACCTCATACAACAACTGTCTACAAAGATTTATCAGTGAAGGACAACCTCAACGCTACAACGGCAAGCACATAAATGGTAAAATATGAACATGTTAGTTAATATAACAATGGATCAATAAGAATTTAACAATACTTGATAAGTATAACTGTTAGCAAGCATGTTGGTACAGTTCTTAGATCAGCAAAATCATTTTGGGGCGAAACCGCTCACTGTTTTCATTTTGCTATGGTACTTCTAAAAATTAAACCATGAGAAAATGTATGAAAGGCTTAATCAAATGTATTGGCGGCTTGGAAGCCACTCTGGTTGTACCTGTGGGGACTTGTGTGAGCGCCAGCAGTACTGGTGGCTATGGACACTGGCCAGCACTATGTTCTCATCGGTATCCACTTGGCCAAACCGCAGTGTCTCCTGTGTGTCATTACAGACGACGAAATGGCTAAAGATCAACTCCTCTGCCTCAGGGCACTGGTTCTGGAAGACAAAAGAACAGACTTTTTATAATACATCAAAATGTGTTTTTCGCATTTATTTCTCTTGAGATGCCTGACAAACTGCATATGAAAACATATTTAAATCTACCAGTTATCCCTGCATAACAGAGAAGCCATTTTTTTGGTCTGGACAACCAGTTTAGAGAATGCATTCTTTGCCTTAAAGAGGAACTTTACCCATAGATTCAAAATAACAACAAAGGCACCTTTAGAAATCATTAGTAATAACAATCTACAAACAGATACTTCTAGATAATTGCCGGCTTCTTAGTTTTTGCATACCTTATTTTTCTTTCTTCTCCAGTCTTCTGACAGCGGACATTTTAACAAAGGGCAGGCTACTAGATCCCCCTTTACTTCCTAGAACTCTGGCACATGTGACTAGGACATGTGATCATGCACATCATCTCAAGGGAGGAAAATGCCTTTTCCTGAGATCTCATTTGATTACAGATGTGATTTCCCAGCAATGCTCTGCTGATTTAACCTTCCTAGGATGCAAGGCTTGGGCACATTACATCATTTGTGGCACAGTAGACAAGGAAGGGGAAAGAAAGAAATGCGAAGTAAAATTAAACTATGTTTGTTTAGCTCAGGGGTAGCCTAACTCCGGCACTCCAGCTGTGGTGGTACTACAAATCCCATGAGGCATTGCAAGATTCTCACAGCCACAGACATGACTGCCGCAGAGAGATGCATCATGGGATTTGTAGTTTCACCACAGCTGGAGGGTCGGAGTTTGGGTAGACAAGAAATTAACTTCTTTCTTCACTACTTGCGAAATAATGACAAATAGAGGAGGTTGTCTCGCTTGAACAACCTATGCTTTATTATTTGTGGTGTCTGAAATAGTAGTCCAGAAGTTTCTGCAGCACTTGGAAATGCTCCACCTTTTTCAATGTGCAATGCAGCTCTGACATTCCAAAGACACAGATGACATACTCTGACATACTGCTTTCCAAAGACACAGATGTGCTGCATCCAAAGAACATAGAACAGTTCAGGGCACTCAAGGAACTGTACTGATATTGTTTCATAAAATTAAAAGAGTTGTTTGGTGGTGTTCCAAACAAGAGGCTCATCTTTTGTCAATAAGTCAAAAGGTTTTTCTTTTTCTTGTTGTAAATAAAGTACCTGAACTTGTGTCTATATTATCAGCGCTATTCACAAAAAGGGTGAAGAGTTTGGAGAAGGCAGGAGAAGTGAACAATCTAGGACAACATACAGGTGAAACTCGAATAATTAGAATATCGTGCAAAGTTCATTAATTTCACTAATGCAACTTAAAAGGTGAAACTAATATATGAGAGAGACTCATTACATGCAAAGCAAGATAATTCAAGCCGTGGTTTGTCATAATTGTGATGATTATGGCTTACAGCTCATGAAAACCCCAAGAACCCCAAATCCACAACCTCAAAAAAGTAGATTATTACATGCAATCAATAAAACAAGGATTGTACATAGAACAATATCGGACCTCTGAAAAGTACAAGCATGCATATGTACTCAGTACTTGGTTTGGGCCCCTTTTGCAGCACTTACTGCAATTACTTTTGCACGATATTCTAATTATTCGAGTTTCACCTGTATGTTGTCCTAGATTGTTCACTTCTCCTGCCTTCTCCAAACACGTCACCCTTTTGTGAATAACCCTGTATAATTATGTAAGCTGACACACAGTCAGTGGTCAACAGCTTTATTGCTTTGCAAAGAGTTGTTAATCTAAAAGGAAGAGCATTGAGATGACCTCATCAGTGCTCTGCTGCTCTTTCACTATCCAACTAAAAGCACTTAATTAAACTGTGAGCTTAAGGTGTATTTACACTTTTGCAGTCAAATTGGGATAACACCTATTTAATATTTGTTACATCCCCCATTCACATAGCACAAGCTAAAAAAAAAAAAAAAAAAAATGCTTCTTGCAGTTTAAATTGCTATTACTTGGGTTAGGGTTTCTTGGCTTCTTTTTTGGGTGGGTCAAAGGACATCAAGGTTTGCCAAGGTCCCTGCTAGTTTGGCTTCGAGGTACCATTTGGACAGTCTGAATATGGACATCAAATCTATCAATTGGGGTTTCTTGGCTTCTTTAGGGTTAAAATGTCTACTTGCTTCTCCTTCGTTGTAATGTTAGGAGGGGCTGTGAGGGGTTGGAGTTAACTCTGTCTGTACTGTGCTGGCTCATGTCATTCTGATTTGTAACATAGATTTAAATACTGCCTGTCCTAACAAAGGGTTAAATTATTAAAACCCTGGCTTCTGCATTGTATGAAGTTAATGACAGCAACACAATCCCTAAATTTCAGTCCTAATCTTTCTATAAGGACAGATCAATGTGAAGGTGCTCAGAAACACTTGGATTCTGAAATTTTTTTAAATTATTTTTCATTATGTTGTGTAAATGAGAATACATAAGAAACATACAGAGGGCTTTTGACTGCAAAAGCAAAAATGTATTATATACTGCAGCTTACCAGTGATGGTGCATTAGTTTGTTTTTAGGCTTTTTCCTTTATTTTTACCGAGTGATCCCACCAGTAGGTCTGTTACTTTTCAACTTCCTTTAACAGACCAAGCCGTCCAACAAAAGTGGCAGATAGTGGGTTGAGACAAACCATTTAACACTGACATGGGTGCTTATAATGGTCAGCTTTTATTTATGAATGTAAAACCTTTATGCCAAAATAAAAACAACATTTGCTGTAACTGCTTAAAAAGTGTAAGCTGTAGTTCGGCTTTACTGTGTTAGTCAAGTCTATTTAAATGTGCTAGTTCATCTAACACTACCCTCTTCACAGGGTGACAATGCTGCTGTCCAAGGGTGGCTCCGTTGCTCCTCCAAAGAGTAGAGCCACCCCAAGACAGGAAGTGCATCACTGGCCGGATCACCAGATGAAAATAAAGGAAAAAAAGGCTAAAAAGAAAACCAATGCAGCTACCACATTTAGGGATTGCCAAGTTGCTATATATTCATTTTTTGTTTTTGTAAAAATGCTTTAACCGTAGGGCAAAATAGGTCACTGACCTGGCTGTGCTGTCTGGCAAGTAGGGCTGGATCACAAGACTGATTATGTATTTAAAACGTGTATTAGCTATAATTTGCGTTTAAACAAGTTAGTGCAAATCACAATGACTGTGTGCAAACTCAGTAACCCACATCAACCAGTTCCCTATTACTCAAGTTACTATTCTAAAATCTATTCTGAGAAGAAAACAGATGTAGAATATCAGTTTAAAACTTGTCCTAAACTAATAGTTGCCTGCAGTTATATTTGAATGAATACAATAGGTTTCTTAGTAAACACAGCAGCTAATGTAGAAAGGTGCCTGTGAATTTGTGTGTTCGACTTATGAAGCATCTATACATGCCTATATAGCCTCAAATCAGAAGCTATACATTTACCCCATCAGCATGTGGTGGAAAGTACCCCTGACATGGGAGGAAACAAGAAAATAAGTAAAACAATTATAGAAATATGTCCTCCTGAAGCTCATGTTAACATTGCCAAATCCCTTTATAAATCAGGGGAACCAGCCTTAGTATGTACCTTTCAGGAATATACAGTGCAACATATGGCTACACTTAATGAAATACACAACACTCTATCACTTCTGCTTCCCAATTGGTGATTTCCAAAGTTAGTAAGTCACTCAATCAATCACATTCCATTATGGATGAAACCATTCATGTGTTTATGTGACCTATTACATTTATATGTCTAACTCAGACTGGCTTGTGTTTTTTTAACCAGAGCAGGAAACTCCCTATGAGTGGAGACCATTTTCAGGTAATTTTGGAACATCTGATATGTTTAATTTACTAGGTTTTAGCAAACATAGCCAAATACCCCTACACAGGCTGACAGAATGGGGAATGATGTCAAAGAGGTAACAGGATGTAGGGTTGGGAGAGGTGAATGTAGTCTCAGCACCAACATGATGAGGAGCAATCAATAATACAGTATGGTTAACTTGGCTTTTCCTAAGTTTGGATTTACCTCTAACCTGCGTTACAGGCATACCCAGGACAGTGGTCCCCAATGGAGATATGCGCTGATTCAGTGAGATATTGCAATGTGATGATGTACAAAGCACAGTAACCCAAAGCAATTATGTTTGGTTTTATATAACCAAATCCCTAGAAGATTTTTATCTGTAATATGGTTATTACACTTTGCTTATCACAGAAATTCTTCCTTCATTTCTTCTTCTAACCTAGATACACAAGAAAAAAATTGGATTTTGACTTACCTGTAAAATCCTTTTCTTGCAGTACAGTATAGGCCACAGGTCTAGTCTTAACTAGTAATGTATGTGGGCTTGGTACGAGCAGAGTTTGCCCAAGCCTGCACAAAACTGCCAGTGACATATCCCCTTATGGTCTCTGAGGAGCATACCGGGGGGAAAAATGTGAGCAACACCCTGTGCAAAAGCCTTCGCCAAGGAGTGAGAGGAAGGGGGTCTTTGAAAAACAATAGCTAGGGCCAAGGTCTGCCCCTTGATGGTGCTCAAGCTCAAACCCTGATCCAAACCAGACTGGGAGGAAGGATAGAATCTGTCCCACAGGCTACTTTCAAGGGTGGAACTTCCTAGCCATGCACAATGCAAAGTAAGTCTGCTAGGTGCAATGGTAGATGACTTCCTTAGCTTACAGGAATGTAGGGATGCCGTTAAAGTCAGTGACTAAGAAGTAGGTTTGAGAACTAACTCTTGGGACAAAAGGTCTGGATGATTCAAAAGTACCCACAAAGAGCCTTCCAGCATTCTGAGGATGTAGGAGTACCATATTCCCTCCTAGGCCAGGTTGGTGCAATGAGGTTCACTGGAATTCCCTCAATTTAAATCCTGTAGAACAAGGGAGAAGCTGTAGAGGTGGAAAAGACATAGATCGGGCTGATCTGACGCCACAAAATCACCAGAGCATCCACTCCAAAGGCAAAGCTGTCGAGCTTATTGCTGAACTTGGATGCCATAAGATCT